CATTCATTGAAGAATTAGAGTAGTAAAACAGTATCCCTTAACCTGTCGTTCACAGTCGCACGCTAAGTAAATCCACGTCGTCGCTAACCATCTGTCAGTAATTAGGTTCTCGGTTAATCGATTAGTTCGCCGTCGTCTGTCATCTCGGACTCAGTCAATCGATACGTCGTCCAGTCTTGCGCCAGTCAATCGATAAAGGACCGCGTCGCAGACGCACGCGCCTAATAGGCTAGGGGAAGTCTAGGCCCTCGTCAGTTAGTAGCCGCGTGTCAGCAGGCCCAGGACAACTCGAGCATTCTCAGCGCACACCTTCTTCTTCTTCCCCTCAGGGGTGCACCGGGCACCCGGATCTTTCTTGTTGGCTCTCCAACACCGATGCATACACGCCGACGAGCGAAATGAGAGTCACGACATCTTGGGCTAATACACCATAACAATACTTACGTAGCTGAGTCAAACATTAGGGTGTCGGTGACGGTATTCAAGTCATCAGGAGCGGTTGGATCGTGTCCAAGTGGGCCAACGATTTTTTCCATGCGAGACCTAAATTTTCAGAAGATTAAGCAAGCGACGTTGGCCATATACGAATTAGCGCCATGACGACGGCCAATTTTCATTTTTAACTGCTTCTGAAGGTGCGGTTGTTCACCTCCAACTCTCTCCATTCCGAGTGGTGAGAATGAGGTGATAGACGAAAAGAACAACAATCGAGAACTCGTCCGAACCCATCTTTTCGCCTTACGCACTTAGAAACGCTTTTCAGCGTGGGGTTCTATATAGGGCATTTCAGGTCTGTTTTTCTTCATTACTGTGTTAACGTGCACCCCGCCATGAGTAACTGAGCTGCACAACGCACCATTTTTGAACTCGGGGCGCGTCTTTAAGTGGGTTATGTAAAGCTACACACACATACATAGACACACACACCACGATTTCTTTTTCCGATCACGATGGAACTCACTGCTCTTTCTTCTCGACTTCTTCGCAGACCAGTGACCATTTCAGAAGTGATTTCATCGCACTAACTGTAGTTCCGACAATATCGAACGAATCTGAGGTGGTGTTACCAGTTAGCACAGTGATGTTCTCTTGCGCAGCACCTGAAAGTCATGGGGGTATACATGGTAAGGCCTTTTGGTGACAGACCTGGCCCTATCTTGCAATGCAGTACACGTACCTCCACCACTAGATGACATTGGATGGCCGGGATGAATTGAACCTCACCACGCACAGCTTTAGTTGCGAAATTGATTTTGATTATTGATTCCTGTGATACGGATATCGCTGAGTTCATTCGCTGTTGAGGAACGTGTCTCACATTCCGGTTTCTTTCATTGCGTATGAAAAGAGAGCAAAACAGTGATATATGGTGTTATCACTGCTGAACTTCCTTTCAGCCCGAGGCCGACCTCTCATGTTGGGTTGACTCATCACTTCTGCTATTGCTTTTTGCTGTCTTTTAATTTTGGGGTTATTTGAAAAATCCACTTGTCTTGTAAGGATGTTTCTAAGCACTTGAGAAATTGTGGATAGATGTCACCTAGATTCCTCTTGCCACTCGTCAAACAGAGCTGTTGTCGCAACCCCACTCCTCCAGCTTAACGAGAGTTGTTCTAACTGCCATGCCAATAATTTACTACCCTTGCATAGGAATAGTTTTTCAAGGACGGCTATGGAAATGCCATAACTCGCCTTTCTGGAGGATCTGATCTAATCGGAATCTGAATCTGATTTTCGACCTCGGTCTTCAGGACGCATCTCCAATTTGATGATCTCCAGCCGATGAATTCAGTGTCTCTAAAAGTTGCCCACGTAGCTTAGCCTTATAGGCCCTTCCCGCACAATTCCATTGAGGAAAATGCTCAGGTAATCGAAGAACAGAAGCCGAGGGTGGAGAGTTCAGCATCTTCTTGGATTAAGGCAAGGCCGTTATAGCCTAAATCGCTCAATTCACCACGCGTGTTGTCTTCGTTTACAAGGGAATGCTGAGGTAACTTACGGGTCAAAGCCTGAGAAAATCCTCCCACGGGCGCGGAACCCTCTTCATCGTTGGGACCCGTATGATGATAACTTTGTTCTTCTGTTCTTCACATTTAGTCTCTCCCGTCTTTGAATATGGTCGTGAAATTCTGGGAGGTAGTACATGAAATGCAGTGAGTATGATAAATCGATAAGACGAGTAGAGGTTGATTAAGCCTGACAGCAAGGAATTTCGCAGCCCCCTGAGCAGGTGCTGCCGTAGCGCTTTTTCAGGATGAAGGTACCGTTCTATAGGTGTTTATCCAAGCTGCAGGCATGCCGACCCGACTACCGCATGCCCGCCCACCCCAAATGCCGACCGTTCTGTGATGCTCGTACTGAGATTAATTGCGGTAGTACAAACCATAGAATGAAGAGACTGAGTATGAAGCGGCTGCGCGTGCTTCATGGACATGATGAGTGATAGTTGCAAGACCGTATCTACCGCAGCGGATTCTGGCATGATCCTTACTGAGGAACTCTTGCCGAAATTTTCGAGTCTATAAAGGCAGCGCCACGCGTGCATTTGTTGTTCTCACCCCTCTCTGGATCAGTACGCTTCCCCTTGAGGAAGTGGCCGCTGATGTTTCGCAACCCAAAAATGCGACGGAAGCGTCGTCCGCCCGCAAAGAGCCGACGGCTCCGCCCACCTGCCGACCACGCCACCCAACTTCATTTCTAATGGTTGCCTGATGGTGCGGTTGTTCCATTGTCTTTCGTCCGTCGGAGTTGGTGAGAGGTGAGGTGATACAGAGAAAACGAGCTGATATGAACAAGGGAACTTCGTGCCAATTCGACTCCCCAATTTCTTCGGCCTTAACGCACTGTACCAACCGTGATTGTTCGGGTATGAGACTCCTTCTAGGCATTATTGCTTGCTTTTTCTGATTTGATTTTTCTTATTTCATAATAGGCTTCTTGACTACTCGCTGTTACCACCTGAGCGATATCTCATTAAATTTGAACAGCGGTGCTTGCTTTAAGAACGATGCTTTTTCTTCGCTTTTTCTACCGTTTCACTTCATTTTTTCGTAGTTTTCCCGATATAGCGCTCTGCTAAATTTTCAGGCCGAGTACCAAACTATCGTGCAACTGGCTTCAAGCCTTCTCGATGATTCTGTCTAAGTGATGAGTCAACTGGCCAATACCTTTTCGTTTACTCCGCTGCTAGGAACTGGAAAAGAGTAATTGAATTGAAGTTGCCTGCAAAAGGAAACTCGACAGCAAGTTTCTGCTAAACATAATGAGGATTCAAGAAGTTGACAGATAATGCCGGTAGAGTTATTAGAAACCAGAAAGAGATAAGTAATAGAGAGAAGGGGAGGATTACTTAACTCGGCTGCTGTGATGCTAACGAACGGCTGCCAAGCCAATTTCTTCATTGCCTGTGACAAGTCTTCGGCTGCAGCTGCCCTACATCATTGAGGGATAACGCTGCTAGATTTAGGACATGATTCAAGATGGAAGTTAGTCTCTACGAGGTGGCATCTCTTCGTTAGTTTCTGGGATAAGAGACCACTCTAATGCCATTATCACACTAGAAGTCGGACAACCACATGCAGTTCAATCCCTTCATGGACTCCCTATATTCCTCCGATGCCTGTTGGCTGCTTCGAGCCTCATTCGAGAGAGTGCAGCTACTGGCCCACGTTACCATTGCCGAGCCCAAACAAGTCATCGTGTACAGATGGGGTGCACAATAATTCTGTTTAGTTCACTTTGAACAAGGTGTATGATGTTTTTTTCATGGACTATTTCCATTCGAATCAACCTCATTCCCTCATGTGCTGGGCAACGACATGGGTACAGTTGGTTTGAAGCGGTAACTTTTACCGGTAGCATAACAGCCAACATGTTCAGGAAGTACGCGGCACGCCAACCATATCTTCTGGATGTGGGGTGTAGAGCAAATGCTGACAGAAATGTCATTATTAAACCTATGGACTAAGCAGAGAGTATTTCGGGCCTGACGAAAGTGCTAAGCAACGAAATATTGTGATAAATATTCTGAAGAGCTTTTCGGACCTTTTGCGCCCCCTGACCTCTCTGGAATGATCCTTTGAGTCTTCCACTTATTTTGAACGTTCAAAAATGTCATTGTAGAACTGAAACTGAAGTCAGTACTTTGCATAACCCAAACAGGAACGGTCAAACTTAGCAAGCTTCAAGATGATCTTTCCTTTCTTTTCGCCGACTCGGCCTATTCCACTGCTTGTAATAGCTATAAGAAAAGCCCATCAGTTCTTTTGCCCCGGTTGTAGCTTATCATGTTTGTAGTTCGACATGGCCGTCGCACTCGCTCATTTCACTTGGTTTAAAATTGTGAGAAAAAGTGGCAGGTTGAATCCAGGGAACGGAGCGCAACCGAAGACCGATCCTGTTTGGGATAAGCCAAGTTCTCGACCACACTTTCAAACTTGATCAGGAATGGCGTAGATTATCGACAAGGGAGGGGTAGCATTTTGTCTTTTCGCTGCTTCATTTACAAGTATCACTCTTGTTAGCTCTTGTTAATCTGGAGCAATCTATCTAGCTACCATAATAGAACCTGTCTTGTCTTATATCTTGTAAGCTCACAAAACGGCATGGGTTAACACGTCGAAGGGAAGCAAAAGTGCAAAATGCCCCCCCCCCGTCACCGAGCTGCCCATCAGGATATCCGCGCAATCCATCAGGAACATGAGTAGAGCTAAAGTGTTTGGCGTATGCCGTTGATATCGCCGTTGGGTTGCAATAATTCGGGGCTGTCTCAAGAAGAATTAAATGAGCCTATTCGCGCTCCAAGATTGTTTGTTTTCTTCCGAAAGCGATCACTAACTGATTAGTACAGGTAGAGCGATGCAGCGAGAAGGGGACCCAATCGCCTCTTCTGTCACTGACCCGAACGATTGCGACGCTATCAAGAACACATGACTGAGCTTAACGTTCGGCATATTTCAAATCAAATTTCTTTTTTCTTTAACGAACCACATCCATATTTAGTGCGTTCCGACGCGAAGTGATGTGACAGCAGATTAACTTTTTGCGCAGGTATGATGATCTTTAAGGGACCGGTATTAGAAATCTTTTTTGCGTCGGTTCCACGAAAAGCGTCAAATACTTTGCTACTCTGCGTTAAACATAGGCAAGCGAACTAGTGAAAAATAAGCGCTTAGAAGTGATCCAGTTTTGATATTTAGCGTAGTAACACACAACCAATTCATCAAGTCTTCTACGGTTTTATCTCACCGGAAATCATGCCCAGTTTGGAAGAAAGACGAACAAAAAAAAACTGCTCTGGCAAGCGAAGTATGGAAACGTATGTCAAGGTTACTGCAGTGGAGGGAATTTTCGAGAATTTAAAGTGGTATGGAAAACTATACCCCCCCCCCCATTCAAACACTACGGGATGAAAAATGTGCTACACCTAAAAAGATTCTGTATTGCTCGGAAAGACTGCAAAGTAAGTCACTCGCGAAGACCAGAGCGCATCGTGGACTGCATGGAAAATGTGGCTTTCACCTGAACTCAATGACAATTTCTCCTCGACCTTAGTTTCGCTGGTGGAAGCATGACCTTTGCCCGAAAGAATCAGCAAAAGTACATAAGAATCAAAAGGACCGTTGTTGATGCTGCCTCCACTGACGAAAGCGCCTATTGTGCAGAATAAACTTGCAGAACTAGGTGCATTTTACAAATGACAACTTTGACAATTCCATCTCAATCGTTTTCTTCCTGAAGAAAAGTTTACATTGAGGTTTTCACTTGGAAAGATCACCTCATTGATAGGTAATGAAAGACATGAACATAATATACATATTTATGGAAATCTATCGACGAGTGCCATCTTCGAAGAACACTCCTCCATCAATGGCGCAATACTTAGGGCAGATTCCCGTCTCTCCTGATTTTCCAGGTGCTCCAGGCTTTCCAGGTTGTCCGTCCAGCCCAGGCTCTCCAGGTTCACCCCGAGGACCTGGTGGTCCTTTTGGCCCGGGTGGTCCTAAATCGAATTGCATTTAGAGGTCTCTCTCCTTGTTTTATAAAACATATAGATGCGAATAAATATAGCTTACCCGGTGGGCCTTGTGCTCCCGGCAAGCCATCTGCTCCTGGCGGTCCTGGAGGACCAGGTGGACCAGGCGGTCCTTGCTGTCCTGGGACAATACCTTCCGTTATTGCATCCTCGCCAGGCGGACCTGGCTTTCCAGGTGCTCCAGGTGCTCCAATGACCCCCGGTGGCCCTTTCGGTCCTGGTGGGCCCTGTGCGCCGTCGGCTCCGCGCTCACCTGGCTCTCCGATTTCTCCTGGACTTCCTGGAGGACCTTGTGGTCCAGGTGGCCCAGGCGGTCCCCTGTGGGCACGGCCGACACGGCGGAGGTGTTATTGGTTCACAAGGTTTCTGCGGTGGACGCCCAGGTACACCGGGGTATCCCGGTGCTCCTGGTTTACCTGGACGTCCCGGTTTTCCAGGAGGCCCCTCAGGACCTGGCGGTCCAGGGAGGCAGCAAGATTCGCAAATGCCCGCGCCGCCATAATCCGAGTCAACCCCTGCATCATACGGCCCATAGCCAGACTGGCGAATCGTACGGTTGACAGGCACCATTCTAATGTGATTTATTTCATCGAGGATATCCTTGGCAGATCGCTGGAATTGAGAACCTTAGAATTTACTTTTAGGTTGAATGAAGTTTATTTGGTGGACCAACCTTGCAAAAAAAGACTTCGTGCTTCGTTGATCGTTTCACATGTTCAATATAGTTGTAGACGATTGGCAGCGAAATACTGACGGATAAAAAAGCGATAAAAGCCGCACTAACGGCAGAATAAGCAAGCACCCGATACACTTTCAACCGGAGTTGCTCATCCATCTGATGGAGGATTGGCGAGAGATGACGTGCTAGGAATGATGGGCGTCTTATATAATGATTCACTGAGCTCGCTACACCACCACCAATCGGAGGGGCTGCCTTTTAATGCCGGTTTCACACTTCTTTATTTTCTGGTGCGCCTAGTAGTGTAACCCACAATCAAAAAACACTCCTGGCAAAAGGTTGCGAAAAGGAGTAGTCTGGGTAACTCACCACAGAGTTCGAAGACTCAAATTCCAAGCGAATAACGTGCAGTTCTGGAGAGAGATATTCCATCGCGCATCAAAAGACATATTCACAACTCGAACGCGGCTCTAATCCGGTTTGAATCCAGCTCTTTTTCGATCCCAGCGAAACGCGCTCTACGTAATATAATGATCAACATTGAACGTTTGTATATGGGGGACATAAATCCTTGAGTAAAACTCGGTTAAGTGCCTCTTGTCTGCATTTAGTGTTGAGATGCTTCTGAATACCAGAGCATCTCATCAGAAGTGGTGGATATGGTGCAAGTTCTTCGCTTCTAGTAATAGCTAACTTCCTTGATCAAAACGTCTCGCCAAAAAGCAGCGAGCAGTGAATACGATTCAGCAGAGACATATCAGAAACACGACTCTTCCTCCTTCACATGGTTTGTATTAGGTTGGCAAAAACACTGACGCATAAAAATTTATTTAAGTTGCTACCACCCACTATATATAATTTGCTTCGTCTGTTTGTTT